CGTGTATTCGATGACGGAACCTGCAGAGTCCAGAGTGGTCCAAAATGCTACATGGGAGATACCATGCACACCAAGGATTTTGATGCCTCAGCGTATGAGATGATATTCCACGTTGTGCCAGAAGAAGCAGGCTTTGGCCACAGACATGTTTTCACAGACGTTGCTGGCGGTGGTGACGTTGTTGAAGTCGAGGTTCAAGGCGGTGCTTTGCCTCAACACACAATCATTGCCCACAATCGGTCTGTGGCAATGGAAGCCAAGAAGCGCCGTTTGGAGGGTGGAGCTAGGATCGACAGCACCAATTCCACACTCTGCAACATTAACCTCTTCAGTTTGCGGAGCCTTGAGATGGACAGTATCTTGCCAGATATCCTTCGCGCCGGCGTCGTCAGGCGCAGCGTGATGCCACACCCGCCCACACAATGGTGTACTGTTAAGTCTTGGCCAGTCATCATTGACCATTTGAAAATCTCCAATCCCCATCCCAGAGACGCGAGACTGGTGTTCGAGGCACGTGATCACATGTACTTCTGGGATGGGACGCCAACGGCTGGATCAGTGACCAAGCTCATCCACACATTCACGCAGCCATTTGACCCTGACTGTGTAATTGCGGGCATGCGAGCCGGAGCGAATTGGCCACGTCCGGAATACCTGAAGCCCTATGTGGCTGAGGACACGCTCTGCTTCCTCAGGGATTCAGTTCACACCAAAGAGCTGGTCAATCTTTTGTGCGTCAAACCGCGCCCAAATGTGGAAATCTGTCAGTTGGTCAAGAATATCGTGCGGCAGCATCCAGATCTTCACAACATTGTCGATTTGATCTCCATGTCTGACGCAACAATCAAAAAGGTCTGGACCAGAAACGCTGATGATGCGTCGAAGCAAGGCACATGGATGCACATGGGGCTAGAGTGCTTGCTCAACGGTGGTTTTCTATCGCACGTGTCCACAGAAGTGGGTCTCTTTGCAAAGTTCATCGATGCAAAGATGTCTGGAGTTATGGCTTTCCGTACGGAGTGGGCAGTTTTTGCCACAGAGGAGAATTTGGCCGGCTCCATCGATTTCGTTGGAGTGCGGTCGGACGGATCGCTGGTACTTTGTGATTGGAAGCGGTCCAAATGCATGTGGAACAAATGCAATGGATTTGGAAAGTTCATGCGAAGCCCCGTTGCGCACCTGCCAGATGCAGCTTTATGGCACTACCGGCTGCAGCTGAACATTTACTGCCGTATTTTGGAAAAATATTATGGCGCAACCATCCATAGCATGTTCGTCGTCGGTTGCAACCCTGACAATGGAGAGTTTCCCTTTGTAGATGAAGTGCCGTTTATGGTTGCCGAAGCTAATGCTCTTCTGGAATTTCAAATAGCGGCGACACATGATGTGCGTGGTGGCAGCAGCCAGTGGGAAGAGCAAGTGCTAGAATTTGAACGCATCTGTAGTGAGTTCCAAACACTGCTTGCTCATAGCCCCACCCTTTTCGGTCACCTTGCAGACCTGATGTGTCTTGATGTAGACCTGTGGGAATGCAAGGTTGCCGAAATTAGACAGCTTTTCGCTAGCCACTTGCCTTTGCCAGAAAACCTTGAGCAGCGTGCAGTCGCACACAGCAAGAAGAGGCTAGCAGTCTACATGTCCTTTCTGAGGCAGTGCAGTGGTGTAGGCACATCAGAAAGGGTGAGCCTAGTCATTGCTTTTCCAAACCCATTCCTTAGCACATCAAAGAGAAGATGGGAAGCTGCATGCCTCGAAAGCAGGAGGCTTTTGCGCTCAGAGGGTAGGAGGTGGTTACATCAATCGGTTTCTTCCAGTGACGCTTTGGGAGGTGGAAGCTCGGACATGTGACATGTTCAATCCATGTTCTTTTTTTCCGCAGCGACTTAATCAGAAAGTTTTCTATTCTTTCTTACATCCATGTGCCACTATCTAAGGACCTTCAGCATCGAGGCCACAAGATGTCCTCCGCTTGCGTTTCTGCTTTCCGGCAACTCCGCCTTGTGATCTTAGGGTGGCTCTTCGGCAGTTGGCTGCGTACCAAAAGGAAATGAGTCTGGTGGAGTCAGTCCTTGCAGAACATCCCCATTTGTTCTGGATCGCTCCTAATCCCTTGGATGCAGATGGTGACGCAAAGCTCTGGGAGTTTAGATTGCGTTCGACTGGATTCTTTTTACGCTTACTGAGAGATCAGAAGCTGAAACTGCTGGAGTTCTCCCTCTTCGCTTTCTTTTTCAATGAAGTCCGCTGCAACCCGTACATGACGGACATGTTGTTCGTATCCAGTTGCTTTGACAAGACCTCTCGACAAAGCCACCTAAGGCACATGGCTGAAGCTATTCACTTTTTGCATTTGCTATGCCTGCCAGCTTGGATGTCGTCCACAGATTCTCGCCTGCCACAGCGTTTCTATCACATCGAAATGCTTTTAGCGCTCGAAACATTTGCCAGCTTTCACGGGGAGGAAAGCCTAGAGAAACTCATCGAAGGCTCAGGGCAGTATGGACCGGTTCCTGCGGTCAGAGAGTGGCGCCTGCTTGACCAGTCCGAACGGGTCTGCAAACAGTTGGCTGCATGTCAGCTAGGAATGATGCCTTTTGTTGAACTCCTCACCCGGCACCAGAAGCTTGTGGACTTGTTTCCGGATCCCTATGATGTTAGAGTCAACACTCAGTTGTGGATTCTGAGATTGCGCTCCGCTGCATTTTTAATTCGACTCCTCCATGACAATCAAATTAAATTCTTACAGCTGGTGCTCTATATCTTTTACTGGCCGGAGATTTCAAGTTCCCCACAGTTGAAAGCTTGTGTTTTTGCTTTGAGTCATGAGAATGCAGCAGAGCTGGTTGAAAGGTTTTGATCAGAATCCTTTTGATGAAGGACTTCTTTTGACAGACTTGGAAGTGCATTGTTTGTTTTGTGTTTTTAACCATCGGATGTTTGCGATGTCCCAGGCCTTCCGCCACAGCATGCGGCAAAGCTCTTGGAGTTTGCCCTTGAGAAGTCCAAGGACACCCGCTTCGTCGAATCGGGGATCTGGCGAGGTGGAGGTGAAGAGTCGAAGCAGAACAGTAAGCTTAGATAAAGGATCTTAGCCAAGTATCATTGTCCTGCGAAGGTCTGCGGAGTGTGAAGAAGAGTAAACACAACAAAAGCAAACAAACTCTTCAAAAGCCATGCAAACTGTCAAAGCATCAACAATATACGCGCTATTCATGCTTATTCTTTTTTGTAAGTCATGGTATGTGGTTGCCCCATCCAGGAGCTACGGGACCCGTCGATGTATATGGTGTCCACGGTGGCAAGGCCAGTGCGTCGTTGGGGAGACAATGCTTTCGTGACCCGTCGGATTGTATTCCGGGTGCAGAAAGGTGAGTCGGGCAACGAAATCCATACTCCGGTGGTGTAGGACGCCGCTCCAAAGAGAAACTAGAACTATGGTGCCGAGCGAACATAGAAACATATGATTTGTTGAGCTTACGAAAGCTGATGCTTCAACAAAAACGTACATAGGTTTGTGCTCTGGCTTGTGTTTTGCGCTTGTTAGTTTCACAATCCATGTGGAGCAGAGTCTGATTCTAGCCACCAAAAAGAACATGTATTGCTTTGCAAGAGTGGCTCTTTCTTTACAGTTTACCTGCGTAGACCATTTACATCCGCACCACCTGGCAGGGGCTTCAAGCCCAGATGGCACGCCAGGGTCTCAGATTTGGCAGAATTGCGGGCAAGTTACGGAGTTGCAGGAACTTTTGTTTAACGCTCAAATCAACATATTTCTGGCGGCCCGACATGGACAAACAATTCAATCAATGCGCCCTGGGCGTTTCAGAGTTGCACGCTGAGGAAATGGTGGAGGCCTCTGTCCCTTCCAAAGGATGGTTCGACGCGTTGCAAAGACGCAAGGATGATTGGCATGCGAAAATGACGGAGACATTCTTTTAACTCTTTCAACCGTATGATCACGTGGCTTTTGGGAGCCTCATTTGTTTTGGCACGAAGCCACTCATGAATTGAATTCACCAAACACTATGTTCATATCTGCGCGGGAATCAATCCGGTTGATGGTTATCGAAAAGATTTTTCAATCGGTACCTTTGTGAGGAAAAGGCGTACAACTTGAGCTGGCGCAAGATCGAAAGCCGCAGCCTGGCTTGAACGCAAAAGCGGCCGTACTCTTTTGAAAAGCGTAACAAGCTTTTGAACGTCATGCCAACCGTTCTAGGCTTCGGGAACCATCAGCCATCAGCGCTTGTATCCAAGGCACAAAGCCAGGAGTGTTCTACTGGGAGAATTTTCACACAGGCCAGAGATCAGTGGACGACGCTTTGGCTGATTCATTAGTTGCAACGCATGCTTCCCAATATACATGTGCAATAATTGAACAATGAAAAACAATGAGAAACCGATCTAAGGACCCGCGACGTCCGGTTTCTCCTTCCCCTGTGCGTGGTGGCATGGGCAAATGAGACCTGTGCGCGCTAGTGAGAAATGTGCCGGTGCTTTTCATCCGCAACGAAATGTTACCAAAAGGTCCCTGCCACATATATATATATATATATATATGTCTATCACAGAAAATGCACCAGCGCTTTTTGCCTTGACAGCGACAAAACTCCTGTTGAACAAACTGTCGATTGCCCTGCTGGCACTCGATGCTAGTGTTGCTTCGTGTTCGACTCTTTATTTCGAAGCTCGTCATGTCAAGGTCCATTAGATGTCGAGGTTGTCATTGACTCAGAACTGCTCTTCTTATCCATGTTTGAGTAGCATTGTTACCAACAGCCTGCTTGCCTCTAACAACCTGGTCTTTGCACAGAAAAATAGGAGGCGCTGTATTATATTTGTTGTATATATTTATATGGCTGCGGGTCAAAACCCCGAGCCCCAAACCAGGGTAGGTTGACTTCCAGGTAGTCTATTCTGTTCATTCCTGGTGGTCAACCGAGGTGTTTCTGTTTTGACCCAAAGCCATATCAGCTTTTGCACAATGTCTCATTCTGCACCTCTCGATGGAGCCCCAAAGCATCTTGCAGGCCCTCGCGGCAATAGCTACAGTGATTGCAGCACAACTGACGGCAGCTACATCCGGCTATCCTATGCATCAAAGTCAGTGATGGACGAAGCATGGTTTTCTTGCAAAACCCTGCCTCATTGACCTGAACTTCCTGCGCTCCTTTGGTGCCCTCCCAAAAGCATTGTGCATCCAGCGGCCAGGCATATCGAACATCACCCAAAGGCCTTGGGGCAGCACATGACCTTCCAGTATCTTCCAGCCAGCCTGGAAAATAGAACTCTGGACCCAATTTGTAAAAATAAAAACTCTTCTGTGTGTGTGTGTGCACGCCCCAATTGCACCTGATCCTTACAACAAAAAGGGCAGAAGCCAGGCCAAGCAGATTCAGCTGCTGGATGAATTGGAGCAGCACAAGGTTACACACACACAGTTGACTCTTGACAACATTGTTGTAGTGGGGATGTGATACTCCATCGCTACTAGTAACAAGTGCCTTACTAGTAGTAACAAGTGCCACGCTACTAGGAACAAGTGCATCGCTAGTAGTAACAAGTGCCTTACTATTAGTAACTGTTGTAGTGGGGATGTGATACTCCATTCTATAGGACAGTTCTGTGCTTGCCCGCAGGCTTCATGAATCGTAGGGCACCCAACCACACCGCGCAGGCATCGCCCCAAACAGACGCCTGTTCACGGTCACCACCCAAATGCCCACGTTGCACGCGCGGCCCATCAGGCCTGAAGGGTTGGTCACCAGCCATTCTCAGGTTTGACATCACATGTTGGTTGCTTGGTTGCTTGCTTGGTTGCTTGGTTGGTTGGTTGGTTGTTTGTTCCAGACATCTGAATATACCAGTTGAAACATGGCTGACAATCGACAAACATTCTGCAAAAAAAGACTCCATCGACTCTCCCCTCAAGTTCATCTTTGGCCTCTTCTGCAGCTCTTGACCCAGCCATTCAAAATACTTCACAGCCAAGGGGTCGCCGTAGGTGGACTCTTCCAAAAGGTCAGCGGGTGGTTGAAGCCATGTGGGAGACACCACGGACTGGCAAGTAAGAATGAAAAAAAAACACGAATGCTTGCACGAGTGCACCCTGACTTTCTGAATGTGTACTGTACGCTGCACAAGAAACATCAATGTGCAGTAGAACCCTTCTTGCGGTGCTTTCCACCAGAACAGTACCGCTGTACCATGTCGGACCATTGACCATTGACCATGCTTTCCGCAATGTCACCCTTCACGCTTCGCCTCGCCACGATAGAGCCGCCGCTGTCCCACCTGACGACGCCAGGTGGCCCCCGCAGATGCCACGAGGGCAGCTGCAGCATGAAGGCTGAGGCGGTCGGCCCAGGATGGCCTCGAAGAACTTCGGGAAAGGCTAAAATGGAGAGAGTAGAACAATCCAATGAGTCTGACCCTGTCAGAAACCCTAAAAGCAGCATATTGAAAACAGGTTCCTGTTGATGTTGTTGTTGTTGTTGTTGTTGTTGTTGTTGTTGCTGTTGCTGCCGCTGTTGCTGTTGTTGCTGTGTTTGTGCTCACTTCTTCCAGTTTCAGTTTGACGAAAGTTCTTTTGCGAGCCTTGGGAAGGCCCAGAAGAGCAAGGCTCGCAAACGACCAGGCACAGCCGGGCGCAGTGCATCTGAGCATAAGGCCAGTGATACATCTTCGAAAAAGCAAAAGAGTTAGGGGCCTAAAAGTCGGAAGGAAGTCCTTCAGATCACATCTTCGAGGCTAAAATTTGTTGGAAGCCAACTCGCCTGATCAGCCCCGCTTGATCTTGTTTGGAGACCATGAAAAAAGAATGCTTTCGTACACATCGATTCCCACAAAGCTTTCGGTGATACACTGCCATTCCACAAATGGAGCGGTTTTTTGAGCGGTCCTTTTCACGCTTGGAGCTTCAGCCAGCTTCAGCCAACTTCAGCGGCCTTTTCAAGAACCTTTTGCAGCCAACTCAATAGCAATGGCCTCTCAACCTACAAGCGATGGCCTCCAACCTAATAGAGTCTTGGAAGTCCGCCTTGCGAAAGGCACGACGAAGATGCTGTCACCGGAGCGTGCATCGCACGCATCACGCGCATGGCTGCCACTCCACTCTGACCATCTCGATCATTGCGAAAGGCAAAGACTTTTCCCGGAAGGAAGACCTTTCATGAATGGTGTGCGAACTCTCAAACGGGCCTCGAACTCCCTTGTGTGGCACTATTCTTGAACAACAGCATCCACAATGGCAGGTCCATGCGCTTCCTTGCTCAAGTCCAAGAGTTCCTTGTTCCAAACTGCAGATCTCTTGTTTGCAAATCCAGTGGAGCTTTCCAGTGCAAGATCTCTTTGAGCCCAATTCAGCAGCAACTGTGTGCATACCCGTCCATGCCTGATACACCTTCAGGTGTGTGTGTGTGTCTGCAGGTATGCATACGGTGATAGAATGGCAGAACATGCTGTGCTGACTGCATGCATAGAGCAAAGCAGCCGTTGACTAGTGCGTTGGAGTGGAGTTCGTGTCCAAATGTATGCCTGCCCATGTTCCCATGTTCCTGCCTCTGTCAAAGCAAACTTCATCCCACGAAACTCACACTTTTGCTGCTTTTGCTCACACCCACGGTTTGCCATGTGTTCGCCATGTGTGACAGCTGGAGGATTGCTGGCCTTGTGGGTAGTGAAGAAGGACTGCACAAAGCGCTGGGTCTCCTGTCAAAGGTCTGCCTTTAGCGCTCAGCTCGTCTGCCCCAGTGATGCAGCATTGATCGGTACCGTGGAAGGTATCAGTAAAGAAAGCTGCACAAGTTCTGTCTATGAGGTCGCATCCGTCAGAAGGTCTCAGCTGTACTTATTGCCGAGTTTATATTATGCAGATCTGCCACCAACAAACACAAGCATCATGGGTTGAGAGCAGCAATCCTGCACAATCCTACACGGTGGTTTATCAATATATTGTGTAGTGCTTGCATTGCTAAATGATTTTGGGTCCAAATGCACGCATAGTTGTGCAATTGCAAGCGTTGTTGCTTCCAAAGTCCTACGCATCAAAGTCATTAAACAAGGGACGATGCCTCAGGTTGCGAGTGTAGCTCTACTTGAAGCTTTGAAGCGGCCCTGGAAAGAAAAACTGTCAGCACCCTGAGCATCCCAAAGCTGGTTGTATGCGTGCAGGCTGAAAGGCCGGCTCTGAAGCTCTGGGACGAGTTCATTACCCCTCAAAGATCCTTGAACTTCCTAGAGCCTTGCTGGCTGTCCCAACAACAACAAAGGCAGGAACATCCTTCAAATAATGCAATTTGCTCCGAGATCACTTCTACTAGTCTACCCGAGAATACCTGCTCGCTGGCGGACCGTCGCTGCCAGAGCATCAGCCTTGTTGTAGGATGAGGGCTTGATCAAAACCACCGCCTTCCGACTCTCCGCATTTGTGAAAACCGTGAAGTGGTTCTTGGCCAAGCTCAGTGTCGATGTTTGGCACTTGATTCTTCAGGAAACATTTAGACTCCATGTCTATGAGGTTGTTCTTGATATCCCTACTCAAGGGCATCTCGAAAGGATTGGTGGCCATTGGAGTTGTTGGGCGTACCCGACCCGAACTGAGAAGCTACCATCTGCTACCTGTTCGGATCTTGCGAGGCATCTGCTATTTTCTACCCAAGAAATGTGGCAGCCTACCGAGAGCCTTGAAGGGTGGCCGCTTACAAAAAAGAACGACTCTACATACGCTGAGGGAATTTACCACTGCTCTTATGTCGTCCAAAGTCTTTGAGTCCATGGTCTCCTTCCAACACTTTTGTATTGATGGAAACAATGGAGCAACCGGACACTCAAGCACCCTTCTTGCCGATGAGAATGAACACACAACAGGAGGAATGGTCACTTCGGCACAAGGACACCAGCACACCTGGTTCAACAAAAGCCCGTCTCGCTCATTGTGCATCACCTGCAATGGAACCAATGCAATTCATTCATACGATGAATCATGGATAATTATTCCATTGTCAGCATGTATGAAGGCTGCTTTGCCGGCTTTGCCTCTTGCACACAACTCCAAACGTCATCGAGGTTTTGCTCCGCGCTAATCCTCGAAAGGGATGCATGGATCGCTTCAACGCAAAGTGGATCTGATATCTGGAGAGTGTATACTCCTACACATCCCTAAGCACACACGCAATTTGTATCCAAGGGTCCCAGTACGTGAAGCAACCTTTCAAAGCCTTTGAGCCTTGACTGTTCCGCGCCAGACTCAAACACTCTGCTCCTTCGCATGAGACCTTCACTGCTGAACTTCTCCACGACTGGTAGAGACCTTAGGTGTTGCAGAACAACAAATTTTTGTCCCAATGAGTGACATGCTCTGCCCATCACAGCATTGGCTGCTGAGAACACTCTGCAGGGCCGGATCTTCACTTCGCAGCAAGAAGTCAGATCTGCTGTTAACCTTGTTATTCCTCCCAAAGCCTTCTATGATTGTTTCTGAGAAATGACGGGAAAACCAATTTGCCAAGATTGAACATCGCTGGTTCAAACAGGCCCACAGCGGTGTCTTGTCTGAATGCGCTTACGAATTGCATGCCAATGCAGTCGTGTTATTGGATTCAGCATTAAAGCAGCCCAGAAAAGGCATACTACACAGCATGATACTGTGGCTGCCTACTGCTTCCAATGTGGCTACCCACTGTCTTTTTCAACTCAAGGCTGTACCCTAGCAATTAAAGTCATTCAAAATTCAAACCTAAGAAGTGCTTGGATGACACCACAAAAAATTGCCTTCTTGGGACCCCGACTCCTGTGTGTACGTTGCGAAGCGTTTTCTAATGGACTCCTTTCATGAAACGCAAATCCGGCACGAATGGCTAGAGTGTGCATGTATATATATATATATGTACACTGTATGTATATACAATGTGGAGACACATGTCATATTGAGCCTGCAGTGCCTTTCCAAAAAGCACCCACAAAGCCAAAAGAGGATGCATCCCAGGCTCATGCCATGCGCCTTCATGAGAGGACCACATTGTTCAGGGAACCAAAAAAAGTAGACTAGATAGAGTCATGGAATTGAAATGTTGAACTCGCCGCTCCCACCAGCTCCCATTCCCCAGTGCTGCGTACCAGATTATCATCTGCTCGGCCGCTGGTTTTGCCGCGTTCCAGAAGGCGAGCCTTCAAAAAGAGAATGCTTTGCTGTTGCAGCACATAGAGGCAGTGAAAACAGGAAAGCACCTTCATGAATCTGGGTCTAAGGCTGTCGCCACTTAGGTCACACAAGTGTATTTACACATACATATTACATATATATATATATATACACACATGTTTTACATGTTTAATATCTTTCTGCAACAATTGCGCATCCTCATGCATCAGGCCTCACCCTTAAGCCTTAAGCGAGACCAGCCTCCATCACAGCTTCAGAGCAGTCAAAGAAGAGGCAGCACTTGACGTCAACCTGCCATGACAAGGGCGCAGAACTTAAAAGCTTGAGAATAACAACTAGGTGAGCATCCTAGCAATGTTTCCTTACAATCTCATTCCTGCCTTGTGCCCCAGGGCCTCATTCCATCCTTGCAAATTGTCGAAGCTCCTGTCCCGCTGTGGCACTGAATAAGAGTGCATGTTGATGAAGAAGAAGGAAAAGACTTGCAAAAGCAAAGCTTGGGAGGGTGTGTTCTTGACAAAACTGTGGGCAAATATAGGAGAAGCGGCTCCTGGGAAAGCCATCGATCAGGTACTTGCCATCCTCCCAGCCACGTTCTTCCATGGCTTTCTGGAGGAGTTGTACCACCTTTGAACGAACTGGGAGCATTGAAATTAAATGAAATTGACAAATGTAGAAGAACGAATTTCACAAGAGCAAGTGCGCCAACACACCAAGACAGTTCTCAGGAAAAGTTGGTTTCCATTCCTTGGATGCAGGGCGAGGCTGCTTTGTCAAAAGCTACGTGCAATTTTTTGGACCCGCACAATGGAGACAGGCACCAATTTCCCCTCCTGAGACGGATGATGACCAACCTAAGAGCAAACTACAATGGACCTTTCTTCTTTTTCTTGTAGCAAATAGCCTCCAGCCTAGAAGCAATGGCCTCCAACCTACTAGCGATGGCCTCCAGCCTAAGAGCGATGGCCTCCAACCTATGAGGCAAGAATAGGCACTCTTCTATAATGTCTTGACCCTGATTGGCTCTGTGGGGCAATGTGTAGAAGAAAGCAAATGAATTGAAGCAGACATTCAAGCATTTAGAGATAACACTCAATCACTCTCATTTGAGGAAACCTGGGCGAAAACCATCAAAAGGGTGACGTCCAGGTCGTTCAAAAAGTGGTGTTGCCTTGCAGCCTGCCCAAGTCTTACAGTACCTTTTTTGGGCCTGAGTCCGCTGCGATTGAATGGACAGATTTCAGCGGTCGAATCATAGACTATGCAAAGTATTCACTGTCACTTCTGTAGTCCATTTGATGTGTTCCCTTCCTCTCCTTGATGTGGCTCTCGATGAGTTCACCCAGCTCCGAGCCAGGCCTCTTGCGCTCCTGTACAGAAAAACCATGAAAACATCAAGGGCTGATCCATTCACAAATTCAATTCTCAAATCATAGCTATGCTCGTCCCTTGAGTCCAAGAGAGTGCAACAACATGCAGCAACATGAATCTTTGGTCAACGGACTGTGGTCAATGGACACCACGACCCGACTGACAGACGCCGGCCTCTCGGAGTAGGTCCCCTGCTGAAAGGTGCTGAAAGCCGAAGTTTGCAGCGATCCTGGTGCACCTGAGGCTGTGAGACACCAGGTCTCCTTCGTTCGACCGAAATAAACAAGGGGCGAACCACTGGTTGAACCCTTGTTTCCCTACCATTGGTCCCCTTCCGTCCGTGTCGTTCGTGTACAACCCATCAATTCTTCAGCCAGGTTTGACGCCAACATGTCGCTTTCAATCTCCAGTGTCCACTGCTGGCCCCGACTGTGTGCCCTTTCCAGCACCAGGACCACCCAGCACGAAGATCACACTAGGGCCAAAATTCCTGGCAGGGGCCAGCAAGATGCAAGGAGGATAGTATGATATAGTATGTGTCAGCACAGAATCAGATTCAAGTTCTTGGATCTGTGTGCAAGTGCTTGTTGTTTCCTAGAACTGTACGCTCTGCCGCCCATCAGCCCACAAAGGCCTTTGAACATCTCTCCACACCTGTTGCCGGGTCGAAATGTTCGGAAAGTCCCACAACCTCCGAACATGTCCCCTGCTGCACCTCCGCACGGGGGGGCTCTTAGATGGTTCTACAAAGGACATTGACACGGTTCTCACTCTTCAGTACGGCTGAACCGCGACAAGCACGGGGCAAAGCGGGCAAAGCGAACTGCGAAACCGCCTGCTCTGCAGACTGCTCTGCATTGATCCGCCGCACCAGGCCCTTGGACTTCACCACGACATGAAAAAAGCAAAGAAGCTACGAAAAACCAAGTGCATCACTGCTAGTAACAAGAAGCCACGAGTAGCTAAGGGCATTACTACTAGTAAGAAGAAGTTACTAGTAACGAGAAGCTTGCATAACTGCAATTTATGTCTAACCATCTACGGTAACCCCTTCAGAGGTCCCACCTTTCTCATACAGTTGATATGTCTGATTCTTTGCTTAAACTGCTGAGTCGGAGCTGAGTCGGAGCCTTCAAATGGAACTTTTCTACCACTGGCATGGACCTTAGAAACTGGAAACGGCCCAAAAACGATGCATCACAGGCAAGAGTCAACAAGCTGATCGTGATTGAGTCGGATTTGAATCTGCCATTTGCCAACGACATAAGAAAAAAACGTAAAAGTCGACCCAATCTCAAACTGTTTGAAGATTCGTCTTGTATCTTTGTGCAGAGCTCCACACTCTTGCTGGAATGTCACAAAGCGCTTCTTTATGGACCTTTATGATGGCAGGCTGGTCCACAGCGGCCAGTTTGACAATGTTCGACATGCAGTTCTCAAACCACATGAACAATGGTTGGCTCAGACTTTGGACTGGACCCGCTTGCAAAGTGCCTCGTTGTACAACACTCCAACCTTCGAGGTCGAGGTGTACACCATTGGGCCCACGCTCCAGATTGTCATCAGCTCGACCGCTAGTTTTGCCTCGCTCCATCAGACGAGCCTGGGAATTCGGAGTCCAAAATGAACGAGACCTCCTGGATGTCGGATGTGAAACGCATACATCCATTGCATCTGTGGAAATCCATGAACAAACCGAGGCATAAAAGCTGATGGGCTGCAAGAATTTCAAGAATACCCCAGTGTACTATGCTCCTTTACAGCTAAAGATGATTACGAAGAGCTTCACGCAGTACGGCACGGGTTGTCGATCAAGCTTTGTGATCTTGCTTGTTACAGTACATATTCTGCGCAGCATCACCTGCTTCACAAGCTCTGCTCAAACTGATACGACTTGGGTATTTGACGAACGACTCACACTGACACCTCTGGCAAACACCACCCGGTACCTGCATTGTCTCTTCCGACAAGTCAAAAAAGAGAACGAACTTGACTCTGACCTGGGTGTCGCAGCAACAGTTGTTCATTCATATACGTTTAAGATCTTTTAAGAAATATTATGATACAGTGCAGCCGATGTACAGCCTGTCACTACCCGACAAGGATGTGTACCGTCACAGCCTACGAACGCACCACCTCTCACTAACTCAGGTCTCCAGCTGTGTTGCCAATGACCTCCTCCCAGCCTTAGTTGTAAACGAAGCAGCCCTCGCCCTAGTCCCGACTGCAGCTGCTTGGGTTGTCAGTGGCCGTCACAGATTGAAAGCTCTGAATCCAATTCTTCAACTAGCCATGCCTGATGCTTTTCCATCCTGGGGAGAGCACCCCGAAGATTGTCAAAACTCCTGGGAAAGCCATCAACCAAGTACCTGCCGGGTAACGAGGGTTCGTGATGAGCGGGCATCATGATGTGTCCAAAAATACGCTCGGACTTCGTGCCAAAAGGCAAAAAAGCGACTGATGGCTGTTTGCCAGTTGCTTGTTTGGCGCACCGACCACCTTCCCATCCATGTTTCATCATAGCCTTAATCGAAAGAACACGGTTTCGTTTTCAATCTGCTGGCTGTCATCCTGAATTGTGTCCAACCTCACGGCAAACAGCAGGTGGCTAATTATATACTCCCTTTTGGCAGCCTTACATCAAGAATGTGGATTTGCTGCTCTTTACTGGGCACAAAGTATTCCTCTGCGGTTTCACCCGTCTCATCGATATGCAAGCTCTCTGAACGTCATCACACTGAAGACTAGCACACGCCTGTTTCAGCAACTTGATGGTAATCTCAACGGGTACAAGCTTGCCATCCTGGAGGCTGAGACCAAAGCACTTGTGCCATTGGCCACTTACGTTTATCCAGTACACAATCAAAAAGACCAAAAGACCCCGTACGGCACGGAACCACCTTCCAACCTCGCGTCCAAATCAAGAGGAAAACTTGCTGTCAAATCACCAGGCCCTTTCACCTTGATGTAGCGGTTGATGAGTTCTCCATATTCTGAGCCTTCCCGGCTTCTCTCCTGCCGAAGAAATGTATGCAACGCATTGGTCCACAATGTTACTACTTAGTAACTACTGGTACACTATTGGTGTGCGAAGTTCACCGTGCTTGAAAGGGCAGCATGATTGAGGGCATTTATCAGCACCCTCCTTTTATGCCTTTGTGGCACAAAGGGCACAATCTCTCCATCACTATGTCAACGAACAGATGGTAGCATTTCCAATTACGAGCAAATGCAAGTATATACTTCAGGCATTTCTCTGTATCAGCACGTTGTATATTCAAATCCAAAATCACGGGATGTGAAATGGACCGAACCGTGGTCTGGTCTGCCGAAATTTGCTGAAATTGAACATCGCAAGATGTTGGTTTGTAACACAGCAAATTGAATGACTGAACCCCACAAGGGGGGGGCCTTAGACTATTTCCTTGTGAAGTCAATACATAGTTTCCCGATGTTTCAAGCAGGGGGTTCCTTGCTCCGTTGACGCACGAAAATTGAAGTCCTCTCGAAGGAGGTCTCCAGCGCTCAGATGCGTGTAGCCAAACGTTTCCTTGGCAATCTTCTATCAAAGGTCTAAGTTACCATGTCGGCAAAATTCCGGCAAAACAACATGACTTTAGCTTGTCTCACCAACCCTATAACTCGAGTTTGGATTTGTTTGGGATTTTGCTTCTTAGTTTGGGAAAGGGATTTATTGCTGGGCAAAATCCTGGAGTGCTTTGCCTTCTTTTGGCATGGGAAGCTCTCATTTCCGGTTGTTTGCAAGCGGAAATGAACGTAAAGCCGCCACCAAGGATGCTTGGGTAGGATTGGATATTGGATATATAGGTAAGTGGGTATGGCTAATTTTTGCAGCTGTCGTTGTGTTGCACGCAGCAGGGTCTAAAATGCAAAAGGAGCACGGTTTGAAAATCAGTTTGATGTCGCGGCTGGCAGTGAACTGGAGATAGCTCTCTCTCTCTCTCTTGCTTGCTTGCTTGCTTGCTTCCTTGCTTGATTTCTTCCTTCCTTGCTTCTTTCTTTGCTTCTTTAGAAAATAAACAACAAAAAAGACACAGGCAAAGAAGCGAAGGCAAGTAAAGTAAACATGAAACCAAAACAGCAAAGAGGCAGAGCAGACAAGCAGAAAGGCAAAGAAGAATGCAAACGGAAAAACAAAGAAGCTGAAAGGTAGAGAAGCAGAAAATCAAAAAAGAAGAACAGCAAAGAAACAGAAAAACACTCAAATAATAATGCGGCAAAGCAGAGAAGCAGAAAGGGAAACAGAGAAGCAATTAAGCTGGTGCCTGTTTGAAACTTTGCACTTTGTTGATTCATAACACGTTGCACTGACCATGAGCTTACGCAGGCATGACTCTGACTCACTGGTAGCACCTCAGTCTGGGTTCCCTGACTGCTATCTTGGTACACTGTGTGCCCTTGCCCGCGCCAGGGCCGCCCAGGACAAAGACCACGGAGGGACCAAAAAGAACCTTCACTAATCCAAACATTGGAGTGACAGTGACAAAGACACTTCCTTTGGATTGGCTCCGAAAAAAAACGAGTATTCGCTGAAGTAAATTGAAAGGTTTTTCGACGTCGCTGCCCCTTTTGCTGATGACATGAATGCTTTCTTTATGATCAGGCAGATCGCGGAGCAAAACAGCTCTGTCTTTACGCCATTGCCAATAACAGTTCCGTCTTAGCACGTTTGAAAGGTGCTCTTGGGCTTGCAGTAGGTCCTCCGCCGAGAAGACTTCTTCATTGAGTTCGGAGAGCTTTTCGAAAGGTCACAGGGTCTTGAATTCTGTGACAAGAATACGATTGAAAGGCCTTACATCCAAGACAGTTAAGAAGCTCGTCAGCCTGCACATCCCTCCAGACTGCATCCGGATGCTGATCTGCATCAATCCTCCGTGACACATCACATCTTGCAAAACCGAAATATACCCGATTGAATGCACGACTACCAAAGTGTCCAGCACCAGGCTCTATAGCAAAAACCTTCCATCTGGACAACGGAAAGAAAAAATACAAAAACAGATTCAGTCAAGAGATCCTTGTCATTCGCTGTTTCTCAACCCTCACACTTACAGTGCCATACTGACAGGTGCCGCACAAACGCACAATCTTCTGGGACACCAAGTCTGCTCGCTCCTTCTAATGCGCCCTTCCTTCTGGAAGCGCTCCACAACTGGTATGGACTCCTGGTAGCTGTACCAAAGCCATAATTCTGTGACTTTGAAAGGTGTAGTAATGAAAACAAATGTCTGCATAGTCCAAGCCACAGGAATGTGGTCGGAAAGAGTTGCACTAATTTTGCCCGAAGTGTAACGTTTTGGACAATCGACCTTGGATTGACGACAGCCCTCCCACCTGCCTTGTGGAAAGTTAGGAAGCGCTTTCTAATAGACCTCATTGCAAAATCTCATGGCACCATCGGCACCACCAATTGTGACAAGCAGCTTTGTTACTAGTAGCTTCCAGCTACTAGTAGCGATGCATTTGTTACTAGTAGTGACGCACAGAAACGCTTCAAACCGAACCCAGGTTTCCTGAACATCATTGGGTCGGGGTCCGTTTCGCCCGCTCCGTCTCTGGCTTCCCGACTCGATGTTGTCATCAGCACGTCCACTCGTCTTGCCCCGCTCCAGGAGCCGCGCCTGCGGCCAGGCACGGCTCCCTCTCTTTCCACGGGAGTCATTCGACCACCTTTTCATGTGAAACCGGTGACGACCGAATTCGGGAAAAAATGAGGTGCCTCCATCACCTGCTCATTCACATCCAAGAAGAGAACGAACCTCACAAGGACCTGGAAGCTCAAGATCCGAAACGGGAAGCCCAAGACTGCGATCCGAAATGCCAATATGTGAAAGCACAAATGTCACTGCTGCTTGAAAATCGCAAGGTATGGCAGGCCTGATCTTGGACAGTCTCTTCCCATGCCTGGAGGTTGTCAAAGCTCCTGGCGATGCAAAACCCACTTGATACGGCCCGGCACGCAGCACAAAGGCCCCTTTGTGTGCAATGTGTGACAGAAGACATGTATAACATTTTGGCTTAGATGTGCATTTCACATCTTGGTTTATCCCCTCTCTTTTTGCAAAGGTTGTGTTCCACAAGAGTTTCATGTTTAAAGCCCCTGCTGGTGCCCCTGGTGATAGCCCAATGAGTCCAAATCTACAATCTGCTGTGCGTCTGGTACATTCGTCACAGTCTGGTTCTCCAAGTGCCACAGCAGGGGCCACAGCTTTACATGATAGCACAATACCCTGAAGGAAGACAAGTGCCTTTTTTCCGCCCTGACAGGCCTGGAGACCTTTTTGTGTTTTCTCAAGACTTCTCAAGCTTTCGGCGGGCGGTTTGCGCGGCCTTTTTCTGATGTTCGGGCTTCTCGGCCGCCCCAGGATGTTGGGGCCCCGAACTTCGCAACGGGGCAATGCCTCGAACGGCCTATGCCACCCGAAGTGGGCCACAAGAGCCAAGAGCCCCACGAGCACTAAGGCTAGAAGAATTCGCGGCCAAACTCGCGGCGGAGGTGGTGGCGGCAGAAAGCTCATCTCCTCAAAGTCCACGGGCACCTCAACGTCAACGATGGCCTGCTGCAGTTGCTGTGTCAAGGAGGCTTCCCTTGCCCGAAGTCTAGCGACTTCCTTCTCAAATTTGGCTTTCTCCTGCAAAATCACAGGTCGAGCCGTGTGTGGTGGCGTGCAAGACAGCAAGTACCAGCTTTACAATCTACAGTAGATCAGTTTTGCATGGTTTAAGAGCACGCGTGAGGTACCAAGTCTACAGACATATCGATGCACAAGCAAACCTGAACATGTTTCTGCTCATGCTAATGCTCTCCTCTTCCCAAGATCTCTCACGGATCACTTGCTGAGCTTCTATAGAGAGCTGGCGGTTCTTTGAAGCATCGAGCTCAACACGAAGGCCCTGGCAATCCATCTCCGTAGCAAAGGATTTTTGGAGCTTCTGCATTTCTTTTACATGTTCCGCATGTGCTTCCTGCTGTTTAGCTTCCATCTGCATCATGAACTGCTCCAAGGTCTTCTGCGATGCTGCCGGCTTTGCAAGCTCTTTCAGCTGAGTGTCTTGCTCACTTAGCTGGCTACCATAAATGGCCAACTGCGATACTATTTCGAGCTGGCCGCTCTGCAACTGCGAGATCTGCTTGAACTGAGAATCGAAGTTCTGCAGTTGATCAACAATGGATTGCTTTACCATGCAAAGCTGCTTTGCATGCGATCCTTGCTGCATCTCCAGGGCTTCCCTCACGCCGCTGAGCACGAGCTCTGCTGAGGAAGATACGTGAGACTTCACTGCCTGGAACTCTTGCGCTTGGGTCTGCATGGCCTGATGTAGTTCTTCAGCTGCTTCTGATTGCCAAGCTGCCATATCCGCGCGATATTCACTCAGACTACTGTGAAATTTTCCCACCGCGGCCTGTTGGTCCTGTAGCTGACTTAGAGTCTTACCGATTCCAGCCTGTGCTGCCTCCAACATTCGCAGGCTTCGCAAGTTGTAATCATTTGAGGCTTCCTGCAACTTTGACGTGCTCTCGAAAATGCGCATCTTCACCTCTTGAAACAGCTCTACCATGCTGTCGCTGGACCTCTTCAATTCACTCAAGCGCTTCTCGGGATCCTGACTTTGAAGCATCTCTTGCACTTGAAGTGACTGAGAACGGAGCGATTCAACCGTTCTCGTCTGCGTCTCAACCAGCCGTTGCAACTCAACGACATGTTGCCCAGTCTCCTGTGCACGGAGGGACTGTAGACCAACCGTGTTGGCTTCCAAGCTTCTTTGGATCTCGCTATTGTACGTAGCTTCCTGAGAACGAAACGCCTCCAGCAATCTGCCCTGGCTTTCCATTGTGCGCTGCATTTCTGCAAGTCTGTCTCCAAGGTCCTGGGTACGGATGGAATTGAGAAGCCGACCTTGTTGCTCCACCAGGTGGCTCAAATCTGGAAGAAGCTCCATATCGACCTTCAAACTCTCGAAGATCTGCTTCTGCGGGGCAAGGCTCAGTTCCTGGAGTTGGCTTTGTAGCTCTTTGGACGTCTCCTGCAGGATCTTCAAAGAAGAACCTTGCACCTCAAGCTCTTTCAGATTCTGGGTCAGTGCAACTTTCAGCGCCTGCTGGGCTTCCAAATTCTGTGACTGATTTTCCTTCAAGCTCTCTCGAAGGTGTAATAACTCTTCGAGCACTTCTTGTCGCTTCTTCCTCACCTCAGTGTCGACCTCTTCCAAGCCTGGCAGCCCTGTCTCGACGACCTCATCCATGCTGGCCAGGGGCATTTTGCTCAAATGATTTGGGTGCAATCGTGCTGGTGCTCCTGGAATGCCTCTGTTAGGATGATTTCGTTTGGGACCCTCTAGCAAGCTCCTGTCTTAAATATTCGAGCTGGTCTGAGCACTGTTCATGCTTCAATTTAAGGTTGAATGTACTGCTCACTACTGGAGAACCCTTTGGGGCTACCAATTTTTGAGTTCTCACGTCACCTGCAAGCACATGTTCTGCCATTCTGTGCTGGAGCAAAACAGGCCAAATTAGAATAATTAGAGTGAAGCACCATGGAGCTTCGAATTTGAATGCTCTGTGACACGGCTGATATGCTCAAGGGCACCAGCTGTGGTCCTTGGAAAGCCATCGATGAGGTACTTGCCACCCTCCCAGCCATGCTCTCGCATCGCCTGGATAAGTGTGGCTCGATTCTAGTGCGGGAGCCGGGAGCCTGTGTGCATTCAGCGAGCCCTGAATCGACAAGAAGGACTAGGTAAAGAACTGCCACATTGAGATTCTTGCCCTCGTTCTTAAGATCAGTTACTTCCCCTCACTAAGTTACAGTAGAGAACAGACTGCCTGGCCAACTTCACCTCCTTCCCTATATGCAGCGGTTGAACCTGCTTTGCCCGTTTGAGATTTTTTACCCACCCAGCCAGTTTGCGGTTGCCTTCAGTAGCAGCTCCACTACGATGCTGGCAGGCACCAGTTTGCCTTCCTGGAAAAACGGCTCTAGCTAGTTGGCTCTCAGGCAAACCAAAAAGATAGATCGATGACCTGCATATCCTTGCTTGCTGCTTGATGTTCTATGCCTCATTTCAAAGCCATGGTTTCTTCCACCTGTCTTTTCTTCCTTATTGGGAAGAGGCACCTTGGGCATAAGTTTGACTCTATTTCCCACCAAGGAGAAAAAACAGCTGGCCATTTAGCCTTTGTGTACTAGTAGCCTACAGTAGTCTCCAAGCACGCTCGGATCCCCAAAAACCGACAGCTGCAAACTCCTTGATGTGGGCTTCAATCAGCTCCCCTAGTCTGGAGCCGGGCCGCCTCCGCTCCTCCGGTCGCTGCAAGCGGCAAGCGACGGCAAGGGACTGCAAGCTGGCCATGTCTCTCACTGATCTCCGTTTCGGCCTCCCGAAGCAGATCACCTGCACTGAGGTGTTGGTAGCCACAGGCCTTCCAGCAGATCTCTTGAAAGCTGGAGATCATGATCTTCTGTGATTTTTCTTTTGATGAGTTCTCTGCCCACATCATCTTTCTCGCTAGGTTTCCCTTGTCGAAAGTGCAGGACAGCGTTCGTCAGCGGGCCTCCACAATCTTTCCACACAAGGTGCCTGGAAAGCCAAACCGTCCAATCCACAAGGGAAAAGGTGTTCTCTCTATTTTTAGCAAGAGCCAAGCTGCTTGACATGTTGCGCATCGACTCAACCAAGGACGCACGGCGTTCACGGCTTGAAAAAGCTTTCCCAACGGAAAGCTCCCACCTTTCCCAGCACCAGGGCCACCAAGTACGAAAACCACGCTGGGGCCAAAGAGGGCACGGACGTCCTTCCAGACCTGTCCACTTTGACAACTTGATGTTCGAGCTGCTCTCGTCGCTGGGAGGGAAGGCTTCTTTTGCAGGACTGAGGGTTTCTATCCTCCCCTTTCAACAATTCCTGTGGCCGCGAACGGCAGAAGTATACAGGAGCAGACTGGTGGTTTACTAGTTTACCAAGTCGATTTGTTGATGGAAAAAAAAACACATGCCAAGCTATCTAAGGTGTCTCTCGACAGCTTACTTTGGTGCATGCTTGCTGTATGACTGTATGTATGTGTATATATATATACATGTATATGTATGTATGTGTGTATGCTATGTATGTGTGTATGCATATCATATTCATATTATGTACATCTAGATATCGGCGCTACTCCGACCGAAGCATGTCCATCAGACCCCGGACCCTTCCTGGACTCCCGCCTCTTCCACCGCTTTTTCGCATTGCACTTGCCGAAGCAAGCTCTGAGACTTCAGGTACTCGACCACTGGGACAGACTCCTGTGAACTTGGCGAAGTAGAGTGTCTTTGTTCCACAAACAGAGCAATCAAGAAATTGCTACAAACATCTACATCTACAACCATACCAACTCTTGTATCCAACAGGAAGTTGATCGTGCTTCTGTGGCAAAGCAGAAGGAATAGTTCCATCAGGAAACAATCCAAGAATAGTTCCATCAGGAAACAATCCAAGAAGCTCAGTATTGCAAGAAGGTATCTTAGTGTCTTGCCCTTGGATTACATCTTTGAATCAAAATGAACAACTGGATCCATTCAGGCCTGGGCGGCCTACAGCCTCTAGCCGCTAGCATCCCGACAGCTGAATGGAACACGTATCAAACGCCCAAATCTGAATTGATATCAAATCTTCCCACGGATTTATAGAAAGTCCTCTTTCGTTGGACCTCTTTTTCACACCGAACACGTTCGCTGCAGGTGATCGGGAAACTCTGCCCCCACACGATGCAGCGTACAGCTCTTGGGCTCGTACGGGAGGAAGTACGTCTGAAAGTAACTTAAAGAGAGCACAGAGTTGAAGAGAACCATACAGTAAAATAACACCCTGGATCCTCCCTGTCCATGTTCACAGAGTCTTCGACTTCTTGTGAAGCATTTGATTCCAAGCGCCATGCAGTAAGAAGACCTTCCCACGCTGCACAGCACTGATAACGGGGCGTCGAACCCCCAACAATCCCGATCGAGGAAGGTCTACTTCTGCTCCTTGAAACCAAGGTGGGTGGTCACTGGAACAGAAACGGTGTCCCACCCTCGTGGTGGCCGTGAAATCGACCGGTGAAACATTGAATCGTTGTGATTTGGAGCAAACACAAGTGTGCCTAGCACTCCATTTCGTGCAATAAATATGTGCAAGAGTCATGCTGAAGCCCGAGATGCACACAAATTGAAAGAATAGTTGTTTGATTCGGTTCAAGTGACTTGACAAACTTCTCAGTGTGCTGGGCCTGCTGGAAAAGTCCATCCGTGTTACTTATGTTGGATTCGGTTGTGCGATCCCTTTGCTTGATGCCTGGGCCTTTTGTGGCTCTTTTTGAGGCTCAACGGGCTTCAAAACGTCCAAGCTCCGACCTTCACCCTGAAGGTGCAACCTGTCCCGTGCGCAAATAGATCGTTTGACAGTGTCAAGGGATGGTGCGGTGCTTCACTGCGTTGGGAAGTTGTTCGAGAGGTTGCTTGAGGTCGTTGTCTTTTTTTAGCTGATTGCTACGCTGAATTAGAACCCACTAGTATTGATCTGGTGTAAACTTTGACAGCAAAACTTCAGTGACTTAACTTGGATTACAGTTGTTGTCACTTCGTTTTCAATGTGAACAGCTTGGATTTGGCTGTCCGCGCCTTGGATCCACCAAAGAGAGCCCATTTCTTCTTGCCCGGGTTTTGTTCGACCAAGCTCTTCAGCTCCGAGGGCACATATTCCTGTTTGCAGAGGGCACAGGTTCAGGGCACAGGTTCCGTGTGTGGTGACGGGTGTGGAACCGCGTGTGGAAGATCTGCTTCAGAGAGGTCGTGTAAACACACGTTTTCACACCACAGGATTTACAGCCTGTTCACACCACCAAAAAGAAGGAAAAATGCAAAACGGCATGGTATGGCTTGCTCGTGTGTGGCGTCTATACAGCTTCTCCTGAGCCACACCCATTTCCTCTGCAGCAATGAAGCACTGTAGGGAAGTGTCCACGCCAAGACCAAAGACATTCATGAACAAATGTGCCTCCAGGCATCCAACTTGCTGTTTATGGAAAGCCCACGCACGGCATGTTCTGTAGGCTCCAAACTTGTATAAGACCAAATAAGGCAAAGCCTGTCCACAAAAAGCAAGAGATAAAGGTTTCTGGCCAAGCAACTACCATGTAGCCTGTTGCAACATAAGTAAACATTGGCATCAGAATATCCGCATCTGGATGAAAGGCCTGCGCAGGCAGACTTGTGACAATGACTTGCACAAGGGGCCCTTCCAACAGCCAGGCGCCAGGCACCATGCACAAGATCACGCCTGGAAGATCACATATCCCACCGCAGCAGTGCCCACTGTGATGACCGTCCAGCCAATATAGTGTATGACGGTCCCCAAGATGGCCTCAAGGGCGAGCGCCGTAGCTTCCGTTTTCCCCGCCGACCCAGTCGTCTCATGTCGTCTCGTCTCTCGCAGAACGTGTTCCGCCAAGGAACCACGACGCCGAAACGCACCATGTTGCGCAGAATGAGCTGGAAGGCATTCCTCGACAAAGTGGCTGTTTAACGCCCGCTCACCCCTCCCTACTGAATTATACAAGTCGGCGTCTACTTAATTAAGCAAGGGAGAGGTAGCTAGTACCTACAAGTAAGCTACTACATATGGACGCTGGATAGCTCACGCTTCTTCAAGGAAGCTCCCCTCCGCCGCCCTAAAGGCGGCGGGGAGGTTCTTCCTTTGGTACCTAGATGTTTCGGGAAATTTAACTATAGCATGGGTTCACAAAGAAGGGTGCAAGAGGGGGGGTCAGCGGACACACTCTGAGCCCCCTTCTTTCCGGAAGAAGAGTCGATCAACCCAAGGCCAAGGAGCTTTGCAGAAGTGCAGAAGTTTGTGCCCATCAAAGCCACCTGCGTTGTACCAGGGTGTGATGCGAAGCGAATCAAACAAAAACAGGAGGATTCTTCTTGCTGCAGCACTCTGTGACCCAGTCAGCAGCAGACAGACAGCATGACTATCATGACTGGCCTGGATGTAGGCATTCTTGTTGAGGAATTTGATAAATTTCCTTAGTTTCCACAACATGGACATGAGATTTTGAGTAAAGCACTGCCTGCGAGCTTAGTAGTCCCAGCTGCATTTGCCCCTCTTCCCCTTTGCCCCTCGGCCCTCTCGTACAACTCCAGCAATCATGCAAGATCTCAGCCCCTCGAGAAATACTCTCAAACCTTCTGCCAATCCGTCTAGCGATGCCCCCGCCAGAGTGCTTATGTTCAAGGTTGACTCCCCTGCGACTGCGACGATTTCACCAAGCTGCTCAAGAACCCAAAGGCAGCATTCAAGTATCCGCAGCACAATGACCTTGGGCCCAGCAGCGATGTACACGCGAAGTGTCCATAGAGTGGGTTAGAGCTACAAATCATCCAGTGTATCATCCCCTTCTGCGGAGTGCATTCAGAAGCGGAAGCGCTGTGTCAGTTGCCAGTTGTCATGTGAATGCCTTGCATGGGTTGCATTTTGCCGGATTTGACAGCATTCCAATACATTATACTGCACCTTTTTGTACAAGGCCGCGGTGTTGTTTCGTGGACTAATTGCCAGTCTATTCATATTTCGCTGAGGTTGTGCCTAGAGTTTAGGACATTGACGAAGCCGACGTCAGAGTGTATGGAGACATGTTTGGAGTACGCATGCAGTAGACAAGTGCTAAATCGCCTGTGAAGAGCCTAGCCTTTCACTTGCGCTCTTATTCGGGCTGTAGCTTCAAAGAAAGCGTTTCCACTGGGTTTGGGCCGGGCTATATACTTACCCATGTGTTCAAGCATGTGCTGGCGTCGTGAGAACCTGTGCAATCTCCAAACAAATCCAAGTATAAATTGAGATTCTGCGCAACATATCAAAAACAGAACAGCTGGAGAGAGCCTAGTGGAATGGTTTTGCTTCAAGATGTTCCAAGCAAAATGCAGAAGTGTTGAGTCCAAATCATCTGCATACCTGGATCTCTCCAAAAATCTCATCGTGAGCATCCGCACCATGACCTTGTTTTTCTGCGCAGCTGCCTGGCAGATATTACGTTCAGCAAGCAAGACTGAACAAGTCTACTGTTAGCTTTCACCAAAAGAGAAGCAAAACCTACAAACGAAAACAAACATTCTGTCAACCTCCGTAGTCACTCTTTAACTAGGCATTCAAGAAATATGTACCGTGATGGGGGATAGACTCTTTTTTGCGGGTGGCCGGCTGGCCTGGCCGGTGGCCACGGGTGGCCGGTCATCGGTGGGATGTGGCCGGTGGCCGGACGTGGCCGGATGGCCGGAGGTGGCCGGCCGGATGTGGCCGGATGGCCGGATGTGGCCGGATGGCCATTTTTCCGGATGGCCAGATGTGGCCGGATGGCCAGAGGTGGCTGGTGGCTGGAGGTGAGTCGGCGCGTGTTTTAGGTCGCGCGGGTGAGGGTTGTATGTGGGAGAAAGCGTGGAAGATCTGCAGATCACCGCACCCTTAAATAGATATCTGGGATGGTTCCAGTTGATGGTGAGTAGTATCCCCGCACCGCAGTGTGTGTTTCCTGAGCGGCAGTTTAAATTTTGTCCTGCAATAGTATTCCTGAGCATGACCCCAGAAAAACGGAATGGCCATCCAAAACCACCTTTGGTGACACATTGTTGGTAGCTTGAGCAGTAATTAGCTATAAGCTGTCTCCAGGACCGTGGGGAATACATGCAATAGGCACAACGTACAACACTCAGCCGCCTTGCAAGCTGACATTTTGCAGGGTTACGGACAGCGAAAACATGCAAAAACTAGTCTGTTGTGAAACTCATCAACCGACCTGTTATACATCCGGACTGTTTCTGCACTTCTTTGCGCTTGCCCGTTTTTTGTCCCACAGGTGCAGGAGCTTTGACGTGTTATGTTTTTGCGCGCTCGTGGATGAATAGCTGGGCAAAGAACTTGTTCATGTGGTGCACTGTGTGGCCTAACAGGCTAAATTGCGAGCTCAGGCTTTCAGCAATGATAAGCTCAATTGTGAAGCTCATCTCTGATAAGCGATGAGCCATGTCGGATGCATGTTGATGCTGCAAGCAGAACAGCTTCAACTGGATGTACAACAACATGGAGATCGGGGAGGCGCGCCGCCAATTTGGCTTAGAAGTGGTACCTCTGCGACAAAGACTCGGCACAAGTCAGCTCGTTGATGTCAATGATCAATCCTGCATGGTTAAGGCTCATTTGTTGTAAAGCTTGGCACACGTCACTTGACTTAAGCCAGCTATAGATATGCGCCGACTGATTCCGGCGAGCCCTT